GGAAGAAGGTGGGGGTGGAGCGGGTCAGGGTGGCCGTGTAGCCCGTTTCGGAGGAGCTCAGGTTCTCCAGCTTGTAACTGGGGTAGTTGGGTGGGAAAAAGCACCAGGGCTGCCCCATCTGGGCGCCCCGTGGGTCCCGCCTTGCTGGGACATAGCAGCAGCCGCGGGCCTCGCACTGCTCCTGGGTGATGGCCCTGTCTGGGGCACAGTCGAAGCGGCTGTTGGGGGGCACGTTGCACTGTGTGGGTGCGGGACGGCCAGGGTGCTGCTGGGCGTGCCCGGGCCCTGGCCCGCTGGCTCCCTGCTGGGCAGCTCTGCGAGTCTCCTCCAGGACTGGGGAGAAGCCACCCAACTCTTGGGGTACCACCAGGAAATCACGGAGCAGGATGTGCCCCAGGAGGGCAGTGGTGGCCAGGCAGATGAAGGTGCAGACCCCCAGCAGGGGACGGGTGCACGGCGGCCACCTCACATCCACGGTCAGGGGCTGCCTGCCCATGGCGGCCGCCGGCAGCGTGGACAGCTCTGGAGGCCTGCGGGGAGAAGGGACCAGGCTCAACACCCAAAGCAGCTCACCCTCCCTCCCAGAGATCAGGTGAGCAGCCCTAGGCAGGGTGGGGCAGCCCTGTTTAGGCTGGGGGAGGCGGGGCAGGGAGAGAGAAGCACCAAACAGGGGACCGCAGAATACCACACTAAGGCTTCTAAGATGCTACAAAAAGACCGAGCGAGGCGGGTTGGCAAGTAAAAGGACAAGCCACAACAGCAGGTGGAGGGAGCCTCACTTCCGCATGAATGTCGTGACTGCGGTTATTACTTTTGGCCAACAGGGTGTCAGCGGAAGTGATTCTGGCAACCCCTAACTGCTTGGGGGACCCGCCACCTTCCCTCAGTCCCTTTCCTGTGGACCAGCACACGGTGGCAAAGCCATACAACAGAAGGGGCCTGACCTCTGACGACTTCGCAGACCAGAGCCCCTCCTGGCCCTGTGGCGCACGGGGACAACAGGATCTCGCTATGGCAGCTGTACCTGGAGACCCGCAAGTACCAATACAAGGATGTGAGGTTCAGATTAACAAGCGATTGTTACCTCGTTTTGCGTATCTGAATGTTCTAAATATTTTATAAAGAACATTGCATTACTCCAACCCCAAGAGCAGATGGGACGCGCAAGGATTTTATCAAGGGAGCCCCTCTGGTCTGTCTGAGAGAGAATGGCAGGGAGCCGGCAGGCGGGGAGGGCCACCTCCAGGTGCAAGCCTGACCCCAAGGAAGGAGAACGAGTGTTCCTAGCGGCAAGGCTGTGGGAGGGTGTCCATGGGGGGTTCTCAAACCAAAGCTGGACATCAGAGGGGTCTGGTCTCTGAGGAATGGGCCTCAGAGCAGCTGCAGGGATGATTTCAGAGCGCAGGAAGCTCCCTGCAGCGGGAGGTCGTGAGACACACGCTCAGGGCTGCCACCAACACTTAGGTACGGGGAAAAAGGCACACACCAGACAGGAACGCAGGGCCCTGAGGAGTCTGATCTGTCCTGGTCACAGAAGGGTGGGTGGGGAGTGTTCCGCCCGGCAGCAGAGCTTGTGTCCCACCATGGGCCACTGGTAAATCAGGGCTCTTTGGGCTCCACAGTGACACTCACACTTGCAACACCAAATCTGTGGGGTTTTCTTCCTCCACTCTCCAGTCAGCTGGGTGTCCTGCAATTCAGTTCAGTTCTGACACCACCTGCCTGGATTCAGCACAAGCCCCATGGTTAAGGGCTCAGTCCCACAAGACTGCCCCACTCAGATGTCAGTTCCAGGTCCCAGCTTGTCACTTGTACTTCTGGTGACTGCTATAAATTCAGGAGTTCCCATAACCTCAGAAAAGTGCTTGTCTTACATTTGCTGATTTGTTACAAAGGACATGGGACACAACTCAGGAAAAGCCAGAGGGAAGAGGTACATAAAGCAACGCTGGCGGGCGGCAGCGCCTCCATGCCCTCTCCAGATGTGCCCCCTCCCTGCACCCCGAGTGTTCACCAACCTGGAAGCTCCCCGAGCCCCGTGCTCAGTGGTTTCCAAGGGGGCTCCCAGTGGGCAGGCAGAGTGGATTAAACACTGGCCACTGGTGATGACCTCAATCTCCAGCCCCTCACCCCTCTCTGGAGGTGGAGGTGGGGGTGGGGGTGGGGGTGGGGTCGGGGTGGGAGTCCCAACCCTCTAATCAGGCCTTGGTCTTCCCGTCCCTGCCCTGAAGCTTCCTAGGTGCCCCCAGCCAACAGCCATCCGCGAGCAAACACAGGCACTCTCGCCACGCAGCTTCCAAAGGTTTCAGGTGCTTTGTGCCAGGAATGAGGGATAAAGACCAAATACGGGCAGAGGGAACTCAGAGCTGGTCCTGGGGTCCACACTCGGGATGTGGACCTCCCCGACTCCAGGGGTTCAGACTCAGGACCGGGGCAGGCCCAGGCACCTCTCAGAAACTGCAGGGGTGGCTGGGGTCACTGGGGACATGACCAGGACTGAGCACTACGTCCCTCAGAAGAGGGAAGACACCCTAGAAATGCGGAACAGGCGCCTCCAGCCCGAGCCCCGCTCCCGGCTGCAGCCAAGCTTGGCAATCTGGAAAGAAATGGGTAGGGCTCAAGGTCAGGGGCTCCAGCTCCGCGCTCGGGGAGGACGCCGGACCCGCCGCGGGTCCAAACCCGCTTCTGGGGCGTTGCCACTGGCAGCCCGGGCAGAAGTCAGGTGTCTCCCCCTCCCCGTACCTCAGTTTCCCCTTTCCCCCGTGAGATGCGGCACGCACAGAGCCCTCCTCGCTGAGCCCTGGGCGGAGGGACGAGAATCTGGACGTTGCCGGGACCCCCTTGCTACGGGGGAGGGGGGTCGCTACCCTACCGGGCCTCACCGGTGGGACCCCCTCCCCCGCCGCGCGGCCTCGGCCACAACCTCCTCAACTTCTCCAACTGAGAAGCCGCCAACCGACCGACCGGGCGCCCCGCCCCAGCCCCAGCTGGACAGGGCCCGACGCCGCAGGTCTGCCCGGGTCCCGCAGGCCCGCAGCTCACCTCCGCGCACGCGCGCCCGGCCCGCCGCGGGGACTCTGGGTTCCGAGCCGGGCGCGCGCCGGGGCGGGGCCGCGGGGTCATGTGACGGGGCCGCCCGCGCAGGCGCCCTAGGCGAGAGTGCGCGACCCCGCTGCGCCCCCTCGCGGCGGCTCCGGCGGAGCAGGCCGGGTCCTTCGGCGCATCCTGGCGCTGGCTCCGCGTCCCACTCCTACTCCGGCCCTGCCGCCGTACCCGGGTCCCCCGCTCCCCGGGACCCCGCTGCCCGACCCGGGTCCCCGCTTCTCCACCCGGGCCTCTGCCCGGCCGGGAAGGCGTCCCAGAGGAGCGCGCACTTTGCCGGGAGAGGCCCGCCGGCGCCTGCGGGGTCGCGCCGTTGCCGTTTCCTTGGGGTCAGAGGTGGGTTGTGGCACCTGCTGGCCGGGTCCTGGCCCGGTCCCTGGTTCCTTTGGGGTCACAGGTGGGTCGTGGCACCTGCTGGCCCGGTCCCGGCCCGGTCCCTGTCCCTGCAGCTATTAGGACTTCGTAAGCGCCGGCCAAGCCGCAGTCCTGCCAATCCAGCCCGCAGAACGGAGACGTCTCCGGAGAGGCAGACAAAGGTGCTCAGCGTGGAGAGGTTAAAAACAGCCAGAATTTGGGAGCTCCTTAAATTCTCTCCGCAGTTTACATTTGTTCTGTAAAGAAATAATCAAAACATGTGATAACCTATAAAACCAACGTTTCTGAAGACGTTGACATAAGGAATTTTTTCATAAAATGGGAAAGTGCTTACATTAAGATGAGCACACTTTTAGAAGTGAGACACGAAAACTGAATGAAGTCTTATCTTAACTTGCCAGACGGAAGGTATGCTCAGAACAATCCCGGAGGGGAGGCGCCAACACATGCAGCGCTGTGGCCTCTGGGTGGGCTTAAGACCTCCCCCTGCACCTGGCTGCGAGTTCTGTATTTCTGCGATGTTTTAGAATAAATACGCCTGACTCCCATATTGAGAAAAAGATTTTTTTAATTCTTCTGCTGAAAGGTTTGAAAAAGCGAAATTATTTTATAGAACATTTTTCCTTTAAACTGCAGTGAAGCCAGTAGGTGGACAGTATTCGGAAATGCAGGGGTGTGGCGAGAGAGCACTGGGTCCATAAGGAAGACGGGCCTGCCTGGTGGCACCTGCAGTCCCAGCTGCTCAGGAGGCCGAGGCAGGAGGGTCCCTTGAGCCCAGGAGTTCGAGACCACCCAGGGCAACAGCCAGACCCCATCTCAAAATAAAAATAGTGAAGAAGAGACAGATGGGCAGACGGGGCGTGGTCTCCTAGTGTTTGCCGGGTGGTGTGCTGTTACTGCAGCCGTCACCTGCTTCCAGAAATGACCTGTCTGGGGTCCTTGACTTTCTCCTGCAAGCTGTGCATGTGAATTTAACTCAAACTGGACGTGAGGGCAGGAGAAGGGACCTGAGTTTTCTGGGGGTGGTGATGGCAAAAACCGGGGGAAAGTTGGTGGGTTTTCAGGTCTCCTGGTAGAGGGGGCGCTGAGGGATGAAGCAGCCTCCGAGGCCACTGGCCCGGTGCACCGCGGCTTCCACCCTTTGCTCGCCGACAGGGTAGTGCTGGCACAGGCCAGCAAGTGTGCGAGGAGCTCGCGTGGACCCCGGGGCCTCACAAACAGAAGGGTTATTTGGACGGCGAGGTCCAGCGTGGCGTGTGTGTCTGCAGTCCCAGGCACGGCCTTCGCCAGCGGAGGCTCGCCGGAAAGCGGCTGGTTGGAAAGTCAGGTTTTGGATAAACTGCGGAGTAACGAAGCAATTCCTACGGGTAGGCTGGCTTATCTATTTCTCTTAAGTGGTGTGGAGCGGAGGGCACACGTGGTTTATAGGAACACAAAAAGATTCTAAGTCCCTCATAACAAACAGGTTTCTGGATCTCTTTCTTGTGGGGGCAGCCGTGGAAGGTGGGGGTCCCGGCTGCTCTCTACGATGGCCCCGGCGATTCGAGCTTGCTGTCGACCTTCTGGCTGACCTTGCGCAGGGCCTTCTGGAACTGAGGGTACTCGTCCTGCACTTGGTGGAGGATGGTGGCGATGAGGGCCAGCCGGTCGTCCAGGCGCCTGCGCTCCAGCTGCAGGGACTGCTTGGAGCGAAACAGGAACACGTACCTCCCCTCCTTCACCGCCTGCAGGTGCTTGGCGCGCGTCTGCAGGGCCACGATGTCCGAGAGGTTCTGAGTGGGAAAGAGACCCTGTGTCGGGCTATGCTGATTGGGAGGAGGCCCCGCCGGCCCCCCGCATAAACTCGGATGCCAGGAGAGGAGACCGCCCCGAGAGGGCGCACCTGTGAGGCCGCCGCCCACTGGGTTGGAGCCTCTTGGTCCCCCCCGCCATCTAGAAGACATTCCTGGCACCTGCTATGCCCACGGCCCCTTGTTCTCTCGCCTGCCTCAGTTGACCAGGCTGGGACCTTGGAGTCACGCTCAAGCCCTCTCTTCTGCCCACACCACGTCCAGTCCAGCGGGAAATCCCAGCGGGGCGACTTCTGGATTATGTATGTGCAGAATCCGGCAGCTTCTCACCAGCCACCTGGTCCCTGCATCCCCATCCTCCTGCAGCACCGTGGTGGCCTCAAACAGTGTCCTGTGTCCACCCTCGACCCCACCCGCCACACCCAATACCAGAGCCGGAGGATCCCTCGGGAGCCCCCGTTACTCCTCCTGGCAAAGCCCTCCCCTCGGAGAAAAGCCCAAAGTCATGACCCTCTGCCCGCACCCCCAGGGCCTGCCTTTGCTGGGCCATCCCCTCTGCCTGGGGCGGCCCCTACCTTGCATCCCAGAGTCTTGACTAAATGCCGTCAGCTCTGCGTGGCTTTCCCAGACGACCCAGCCCAAGGCCTTGGTCCCCCGGCCCTCCCGACGCCCCTTCTCTGCTTCGTTCCTCTCCAAAGCATTATCCCCATCTGACACACCCTCTCTTTTTATTTATTCTGTTTATCACGTCTCCTGCCCCCAGAATGTAACCTCCAGGGGGTCAGGAGCTTTTGTCTGTTTTGTTCTGCTCTGGAGCCCTGGCACCCAGAACGGGGCCTGGCCCGTGACAGGCACAGGGTCAGTATTCGTTGAATCAGCGAATCACAGAGCCACAGACTGCGGCAGTGCGCGGTGCTGTTTCAGCTGCGCTTCACCGGGCCAGGAGAGGCCCCACTGAGAGTGGCACACACATGACCGAGGTGCCTTTAGCCCTAGTGACCTCCTGGGGCTTGTTTACCTGTTGCTTGAGGGCGGTAAGCCGGCTGAGGTCGGCTTCCAGCGTGTCCAGGTCGGACTGCATCATCGACAGCTGCTTCTGCTTCTCCAGGAGGGCGCTGCTCGAGCTTCTTTGTGCTTCCTCCAGTTTCAGGACGGTTTTGGTGCACTCCTCGGTGGCCTAGGAGGTAAACAGGTCCCTGCTGGGCCCCTGCATCCTGGCTCCTTGGCGGACAGACAAGGGTAGGGCCATGAGGACCTGCCAGGTGCCTTCTGTGCCAGCCGCCAGGAGGATCCCTGAAGGGGAGTCAGAGTCACCGCCCTTCGGGGACCTGTTACCTGGAGCGGTGCGAGCCCGCGAGGCGCCCACGGTGCAGACTGCTCCCCTGAGGCAGGTGTGGCTTAGAGAGAGACCCGGGGGGCCTGAGAGGTTCTGGGGGCCTCCTCCTACAGCGGGTCTGTCTGCTTGGACATGGGGACTGGGGACAGCTGTGCGCCAAGAGCAGGGGCCATGGTCTCGGGGCAGAGGTGGGCTGGGGAGCGTGGGAAGGAGGGGCGAGGCCTCTCTGCAGAGTCCCCGCCAGACGCGGGCTTCAGGGGCATCTGTGGCAGACAGGAAGGGGACGAGGCCAGCGCCATCAGCCTGGTGTGGGTTCCACCGTCAGGGGAAAAGAGAAAGAAAAACCTGGTGGCGTTTGGTGGCTGACGGGCCCAGGCGTGGAGAGGGAGAAGAGACAACGGTGACTCAGAGTTGGCCGGACACGGAAGGACAGAGAGGGACTGGCGGGGTCCAGAGAAAGGACCCATCTGTGTGTCAGTGGTGGTTGTGTCGGGCGTGGCTCAGGGGCAGGGGCCTCGGGCGCTGTGTGGGGCAGATGTTGGGTGAGGGGTGGGTGTGGGGGTCCTGGCGGGGGACCGGGAGGCACGCAGGGCAGTGAGGGGAGACTGGGAGCCAGGACAGGAGGCCGAGGAAGGGTGGACATCAGGAGTGGTCACCATGGCCAACAAGGACTGAAAAGAGGCTTCTCTGCCTCTCTCCAGAAACTTCCAGTAACTTCCAAATGAGCAGGTCAAGCATGTCTGTCATTTACTGCTAACCTTTCCCTATATGGGACCTACCCCAAAGGGCCTATCTCCCCACTCTCCATGTAGTTCTCTGGGTGACCCTAAAAGGTGGGTACCTATTTTGAAGGTCAGTAAACCAAGGCACTGAGAGGTCAGTCTGCCCAGCCATGAGTGGAATAGTGGGGTTCTGAGGCCGTGCTCTCAGCTGTCCCTAGTGCCACACGGCCGAGCAGAGGAGGTCTGAGCCCTGGCCTGGCGATGGCTGGGGGGTGGACATGGGGTGGCACTGGCTTGGCCTCTCCCATGCCCCTCATGCTTGGTTAATACTGCCTTGGGGACAGGGACACGAGCTCTCGGGGAGTCCCCAGCTCCAGCTCAGGGCCTGGCCGCGTGGCTCTCCCTCCAACACCCTGCCTCTCCGATGCCACTCGGTTAAGCAGAAAGCGGTGGGAATATGGCCGCCTGTGGCCCTGTGCAGCTCCCTCCGGGTGTGGGCGTTCCACTCATCCCAAGACAAACCCCCAAAGACAGGCCCCGAAACAGCGGCAGTCAGCAGCGCCCAGAACACCTGCTGAGCACACGGCCCCTCTGACAGCCACCGCACCTGCACCCCCGACCCAGCTGGGTCACAGGTCCCCCAGGTCGAGGCCCAGAGGGTGTGGCAGCCCCATTGCCAGCGCAGAGCAAGTTGGTTCTCCTGGCTCCAGGCGGGGCTCCCCCATCCCCACAGCGCCCACTGGCACCTCTGTCACAGCCACGGCCCAGCAGCACCCACTGCAGCTTGCGGGAGGAAGGACAGCGTGGGACAGGGTGGGGGCAGGTTCATCGGGAGGACAGCCCTGGCCAGCTGGTGGGGGTGGTGCCGCACAATGACCACATGCAAGGGACACCAGTGGACGCCAGAGCAACACCCCACCTCCAACAATAGACATTGCGCCTGAGCAGGAACACCCTTCTGGAGTATTCCTGGGGTCACAGAGGAAGCTCAGGTTGTTTAGACCTCCTCTTTCCCGCCGTACTGCTCCCCACCTTGTGAACGTCCCCGATTTTCCGGCGCAGCTCAATCTGCTTGTGGTGGAAGTCGGTCCGGGTGAGCACCTTCGGGCCTGTCTTGCCCTGGCCTTCGGCCTGTGTCACGATGGTCTCCCTGCGGGCGACCGCCAGCTCCATGTCGCGGATCATCTTCTCCTGCTGCTTCAGCAGCTGCCCGTGCCTGACCTGGGGCACAGGACAGAGGGGCTGGGGCGGGGCCGAGGTGCCGGCTGCACAGAGGGTGGCCAGGGCGGCCCTGGCGTCCTCCACTCGCACCGTCTTAGGTGCTGCAGGGAAACAGTGAGGGCTGCCCCGCCCGGGGAACAGGGTCTGGAAGTGACGTTATGGGGAAATCTGACTGGCACCGTAGCAAGGTTAGTCTCCTAGCTCTGACAAATGCACCGTGGTTTCATCAGACAGTGACATCAGGAGAAGCTGGCGGAGGGTCTGCAGGCCCGGGGCTGGGGCTTGGGTTGTGGGAACTCCCTGGAGCCACAGAAATATGACAGTGGCTACGTAGATATGCGCGCCTGGCAGAACCCATCAACTGCGGGTTTCAGATAAGCATATTTTGTACTTTCCAAGTTATGTCCAGAGTTGATTTAAAAAAAAACGGAACAGGCAGGAATCCCCAAGTTAAGGATGGTGGAAGGAGATGGAGCTTATCCAGGTTTAAAAACGTGTCACAGAGTGACAATAATCAAACGCTCTGGCATTGCTGCAGGTGTTGCCAAAGTGGTTGTCCCAGCAGCCCAGAGGGAGCGCAGAGCAAGGACAGTGTGGAGTGGCGGTGACACACGTGGGGCTACCGTGTGAGCCGTGTGGCCGTTCAGTGCGGTGAGACAGCAGGCTCCCACGGTGGCCCTGGCTGGGACGAAACAGAGAGCGACCCTATTCACACCACGCCCAACAGAAATTCCGGGTGGACCACGCGCCACGTACGTGCAAACGGTTGCAAAGAACGCGGGAACGTATGTGTGTAGCGCCAAGCTGGGGACCTTCTTCCTCAATTCAGGAAACCCAGAAGCCGCGAGGAGGAAGGCTGACCCTTCCACGGCGTAAACACTAAAACTCCGCGGAGCGAAAGGCAGCGACCCACGGGAGGCCCTGCTCTTACTGAGTGTCAAAGATGGCAGTGACCCCGGCGCAGAGCTCCGCCCCTGCCGGGAAGCAGGAAAGCACGGCGGGGAGTCAGCCGGATATGCGCACCGCAGCCCCCGGGTGAGCACGTGCGAACACCAACACGCACCACACACACCAACACGCACCAACACGCACCACACACCACACACAACACGCACCACACACCACACACATCACACACACCAACACGCACCACACACACCACACACACCAACACACACACACACACACACACACACACACACACACACGAGCCCACTCCCTGCTGGTAACCCGGCAACGCAAATCCACATAGCAGAGGTGGCTGTTGTCACGCAGTGGATTGCCAAACAGTATAAAGACGGATAACAAACAAGTGCATTTAGCAAAGCCACAGAAAAAAGGCAATATACAAAAAAATCAATTGTATTTCTATATACTATCAATGAACAATGGGAAATTGAAATAAAAAATATTATTTATAATAGCACCAAAAACCATGAAACACTTAGGTATAAATTTTAAAAAAACATGTGCAAGACCTGGATGCTAAAACCCAAACACACTGACAGGGGAAATCAAATAAATCAAATAAGATCCAAATACATGGAGACACACATCGGTTCATGGCCTGGGAAAGGCAGTACCGCCAAGGTGTCAGGTCCCCGAGCTGATCTGCGGGTCAGCGCAATCCCAGCGTGGTCTCCACAGGGGCTTGGCAGAAATGGATAAGCTGATTCTCAAATTTTTATGGAAAGGCAAAAACACAGAATAGACAAAACAATCTTGAAAAAAAACAAAGTTGGAGGCATCTTGTAAGTACAGAGTTGCAGAAATGAGGAGGGGAGAGCTGGTGAGCGGACGGCCACAGGCGCCAGAGGAACAGAGCAGAGAGCCCGGCACAGACCGACGCGGATGCGCCAGCGGTTTCAGCGCGGCCGGAAGGTGGCGCAGTGGGGAAAGAGCAGCCTTGCCGACCGGTGGGGCGAAGCGAGTGGGCGTCCACACGCAGAATAATTAACCCCCATCCACAACTCGCACCACACACAAAAAGTAACT